CCCCCCCCCCCCCCCCCGTCTACACTGGGTTGTAGCCCAGGGATCCTAGAACAAGCACCCACAGCCCCTGCACATTCCTACCTCCGGCTTCCGTTTCACTGAGTTTCCTCCTACATCCCTGGCTTCCCACAGCCTGCCCCAGCCCCCGCCCTGCAGCCAGGGCCTGGTGTCCTCCAGAGCCTGCCTCTGCACAGGTGCGCCTGGCCTTCATTGGCTGCCTCCACTTAAATCTTCCTGACTTGCCACCTAATTAGCTGCCTGGGCCCACCAGGCCAAACTGCGCCCTGGGAAGGCTAGCGAGGGGCCTGTGCCCCCTCATGCCCTGAGGGGAACTCCTTCCCCGATTAACGCCCCCAGCCAATCAGGGAAACTCGGGCCTGCAGCCGGCTTACCCGACAGTCCCTCAGCATGTCACTGTTCCGCCACAAAGCTGTCACCTCACACAGCACGACCAGGAGCTTGGTTCCTGACTGCTTCTGCCTCTCAGTGCAGATTTTCTGTGACATTCCTTCCTCATCGGGAACTAGCACAGATTTACAATCGGCTGGGGCTGCTGGAAACGGTTAGGGCCGGGCCCTTCGCAGTTGAAAACACGCTGCAAAGCTTTTATCTGCAAAGAGAGGAGAGGCGTCTCCCTTGGCAGGTGACTTCCGACAAATGGCACAAAATGAAGGGGAAAGGACACCACAAGACAATGATGTGAGGGATCCTAGCTGGCAGTAAGAACCTTCCCAATCCTGCTCACAACCTGCAGAAAGCCGCTGCCACCCAACGCTTCCCTCTTTCTTCCTGAGAGCCAGCAGAGCAACTCACGGCCCTGCTTGTCCTTTTCTCCCCGCTCCAAACCCTCCAACCCAGGCTCTTTGCCTAGCCACGACACTAGCTGCTGCTGGTTCACTGATCTCCCTGTGAAACGGAGAGCAACCGAACAGCGCGGCAGAATGCGACTTCACTTGGATTTGTTCTACCAAGTCCCCGAAAGTCAGTGTGCAGATTGCTGAATTGCCTTCCCCATTGTGACTGAATTAAAGACAAAAATAAATTAAAACTTCATTTTAAATGTATTTTTCTAATTGAGTAAGGGTACACCAACTAATCTTCTGCCTAATTAGATGGAAGCTAGATTTCATTATCAATATCTGAAGCTAACGCTAATTGAATCGTTTATAGTCATTGCTGTACTACTGAGACACACTCCACTCCCTAGAAGAGGAAGACAGCAAGGACTGGTCCGGGCATCGTATTTTACAAGAGCTCTGTTCTTTGTCTTTATTTGCTGTCGCAAACTTACCCTAGCCCGTTTCCTTAGCCCCGTGGGTGGGAAAGGATCATCGTAAAACAAGAAACCTTGCTTATGTCCCTCTCACGAGCGTCGTCTTTCAGGAGTGAATGTAAGTCTCAGTTCCATAAAAGTCACGGGGCTCTGGGCACCAGTGATCGATAACCGGCCGGCGGAGTGAGCGTCGGTAGCGCAGGCCAGCGTCAGTGCACAAGGGTTTTTTCTAAAAGCAGCCAGCACCAGTGAGAGGCGCCTGAGGGGCAGAACTGGAACCCTTTGGGGAGGAGCAGCACCACCCTGGCTCTGCAGGCTTCCCTAGACACCTCCCTGACCAGTCTCCATGGACAGCCAGAAGGGCCCGTTAGTGCTATTCAGCGGAAAAGCTCCACCATGTGTCCCTCCTGTCCCAGTGGGAACGGGCCAGCTGACACCGCAGCGGGCAGGCCATTGCCGAGTAGAGAGACGGAGACAGGCCACAGGCAGCCATCAGGCAGCGCGCCTCAGTCCTCACACAGCAACGACTCAGCTGCCACCGAACTGGGCAAATCCACACCGGCTGCCTGGAGGAGGAAAAGCTCCACCTCCCGTTCTTCCCCCACGAGCAGCCGGCCAGGTACCCTCGGAGTAACACGCCCCCAGGACTCACTGGTTAGACCCCACTTTCTGAAAGCGCCCTCAGAACAGAAAATGACACGGACTCTGCTTGCCCAGGGGCCCTGCTGCTGCCACTCCGCGACGGAGAGAGGCCAAAGAAACCCAAGGCCCTTGCAAGAAATATGGCATCCAAGAGCATGTCTGAGACTCACGGATCTCGGAGAGTTGGCCGGCTGGCAAGGGGAGCACGGGGACTCAGGGGACAGGAGTGAAATGGGAGGTTTTATATTATGATTTTGGTACATTTTTTTCATGAGACGAATACATATTTATTTCTAATGGCCTGAAAGCATCCATTCGAGGTGCAAACCAGGGCTGCCGGCCTATTAGCCTGGCAGATAAAATCTCTCTGTCCAAAATGTTCTCTATTATTGCATCCCTCCCCTGTTGTTTTACAAGGAACAAATCAAATGCCCTACTGATCTATTAACAGCTCCCAATTCACTCCCTAAGTCTGGCCCAACAGAAAATAGATTCCCAACCTCTTCAAGGTTGTATGTCCCAAAAGAAGCATATTTGTGGCCTTGAGATCACTAGCTGCTTTCAAATAAGAATAAATGGGAAATGTATTTGGTCTTTGAGATTTGCATTGCATTCCTTCCTGTACTCAACAAGAGAAGAGTCTCAATTTCACATGGCAGGATGTTTTCATTAATAACAATGTCTTATTAATCATCTGTTAAAGGTCTGTGCTCTTAATTTAACAGGAAAAACCGAATAGATTACTCTTAGAATTTCAATTAAAATAACATGATGTCTTCAAACTGATACCTTAATTAGACATTATAAAATGACATTTAGAAATCCTGAGTTCTGATGAAGTCATTGGACTGTGAAGAAGTTTCACAATAACGCCATTGCATCAAGTACTCCGAAAATTAATATTCCTTAAATTCTGGCTGTTGAGAAGCTACAACGTCTGGGGGTGGGGGGGTTCTATTTAAAAAACTAAGCTGCTGCTTATCTCCCATGCGCATTAATCAGAACACTATAAATCAGAGAGCAAATACTAGTGAATGTGCACAAGAAAACTAACCCTCAAGACACACGACAATATCCCACAAAGAAAACCTGAGTGAACAGGCCTTGAAGGACGCCATGAATGTAAAAAAACCATCGCCTCTGTCAGAACAGCAGCAGGTGTGAAGTGTGTCAGCCTTAAGGTCAATGGGATACAAGGCAAATGACAGATCTGAGAAGCTTACCATGGACACTTGGACATCATCCCTCTAGGCGTAACTCAGTGCGAACCAAAGGCTATGAACCAGAGTAGGCCAGGCCTGGGCACACCACCACCATGCTGGGAGTGAACAGGCCAAGAAGCACCTTCTTGGCTGGGGAGGTGGGTACCACACCCAGAGGGCTGAGGAAGTTTTACACACACACACACACACACACACACACACACACACACACACACACACACACACACACACACCAACCCCTGACAGATGCAGTGCAGTGAGAAGGGAACAGAGGTGGAGGTTTCATCTGGACTAGCAGGTACAAGCTGATGGTGGTGACAAGCAGTGTCTGGTGCGCAATGCCCACCCGCGTGAACCCAAGTATAACAGGAAAAGTTACAGGGAGGGCAAGTTTGCACTTGCTGAGGGATGCATCCTGGTGTGCCAATGGCGCAGGTTCCTACGGCCTCGGGGTGGTGGGACCTACCAAGGTGCCAGGACCACGCCAAGCAACTTCAGCACTGAATCAAACCAGGGGCTCTTGGAGGCACAGCGAGGTCTGCTCAAACAGCGAGCTGCGACCTCTGCTCATCAGGCAGCTACCACCAGAGCACCAAGAACAGCTGCACCAGGCCACCATAGCAACATTCCTCAGCCCTTCACAACACACACCTGTGACGGACCGGGCCGTGTCTGGGCACAGCTGAGGGCGTCCGCTCAGGGCGAATTGCTCAACTTCGGGGCTCCTTACAGTCCCCAGACTGGAGACCTCTCCAAACAGGCCACAAACCAGTCCCACAGAGCGCTCCAGCAGCCTGCCTGAAGCCTCCCGAGCAAAACCCCTCTGACACCCCAGCAATATCCGTGCCTCAGATGGCCCCGTGCCTCATACACAGGTGGGGGGTCCTAGCACCCAATCCCACCTATCCCGAACAAGTTCTGTCCGGTTCCAAGAAACCAGCCACAGATCCCTGGTCAATTTACCCTTTGGATCTTACCCACAAATCAC